AAGCATCTAGAGGGGCCAAAAGTTTTTTCTCCATCTCTCAAAAAGTAATGAAAATTTGTTATACATCAAAGAAGCAAAGTTGTTCAAAATGTCAAGCTTAATCTATTGAGATCGTCAAAATTCGTCCGACGACGTCACTTCCGGTCAAATTGGAAGTCGTCAGAAAATACGTATTTTTTGCCGTTCTTGACAAGTTTTTGGGTAACATATGTCACTGGAAGCATAAAACTTAATTTTCCGTCCGACGACTTCTCTTCTGGTCAAACCGGAAGTAGCTAAAAATAGCTTATTTTGATGGTTTTGACGCAAAATTGAAATTAAAAGTCACTGGAGATGACTTAGCTCATTGCTTTCTTTTGTTGACGTCACTTCCGGTCTAAACAGGACGGAAGACCTACTCGTTGCTTTGCAACGAGCTTTGCTCTAGTTATCATTCTTTTTTCTTCTTATTTCTTCTCCGGTACTTTTTTGTCCGGGAGTGTTCTCAGAAACTGTTCACCCAACTAAGTTAAAACCTTTTTAGGGTTAATAGGTGTGTTGTGTAGGTGTGCTGAACGAAGGTCATTTTGCGCTCATACGCATGCACATGCGGGAGCGTGAAGTGAGTGAAATGACTGATATATTTAATAAAGCTATAACTTTTACATTTTTTGATGAAACGCTTTGAAACTCATTGCATGAGGATATATTAATAATGTTAATATAATGACACTGTCAAATTAGCACGAACTCACGCGCGTGCACGTGCGCTTTGCTCTGATTGGCTGAAACTAAAATCTTAATATCTCTTTTGTTTTTTGACGAAACCCTTTGAAATTTCAAACATAGTCTTGCATTAGGATATCCTACAATATGATGTAAAAAAGAATTCAAGAAAGCACGCGCATGCACGTGTGCTGCAATCTGATTGGCTGAAACTTTAAATGGCTATATCTCCTTTATTTTTTGACGAAATGCCTTGAAATTTAAAACATAGTCATGCATTAAGATATCCTACAATACTATATAGAAAAAATATTCATGAAATCACGCGCATGCACGTGTGCTGCAATCTGATGGCTGAAACTTGAAATAGCTATGACTCCCTTGGTTTTCAACCAAACACGATTGGATTTAGAACATAGATAGATATAAGGGACTCCTATAAGAAGGTATGGTCATCATGCACGTGCACACACGTGCGTGCATTTGGAACGAGTGAAATTAAAAATACACTTGAATGAGTGATTTTTAATACTTTTGGACTAAATGCTTTAATATATAGTATATTAAAGTATATAGATAGAGGAGACATTATGTTATCGTCATAACGCACAAACATTCACATGCGCACGCCTGCAATGCTAAAATTTGAGTATAATTGGTATCCTTCTGGGAAAACGTTAAAGTAAAAAAATTCACAGAGTTTATCTTATTTAATGAAATTTACAGGTAATATGGCACTAAAAGGGAGTTGGGGAGCGTTTGGGGAACATCTGTAACGGTTCCCGTTACAATTAGCACTAGTTAGTAATGTTTTTATTACAGTCAGTCTTCCAAGAGGAGTAAGTTTAAAAGCTTTCCATTGTGACATGGTTTTTTTTAATTTCTTCAATTTTTAATTTGTAATTAATATCTACCATCTCATGTAAATCAACATAAAACTTAACACCTAGTGAATCAAAGGATGTAGTACTGGGATCAAACTTCCATCTTGAGTGATGAAATACATCTTTTGAGAATTTTTTACTTCCAATCCAGACTAATTTAGTTTTAGAAAAATTTATTTTTAGACCCGAGATTGATGCAAAATAATCTAACACTCTTGTAATTCCATCCAATGAGCTTGAAGAGCCAACAGAAATAACAGATGTTTCATCTGCTTATTGGGACAACTTGTATTCTTCACCATCAATAGTTATACCTTTAATATCCTTATTTTTTCAATTTAAAATACCTAAAATCTCTGCACAAAGTAAAAAAAGGTATGGTGAAATATGATCACCGTGTCTACAACCCCTTTCAGGGTAAAAATACTGAGACACAATTCAATTTTGAATGACACAGGACTTGACTGACCAAAATTGAAGAAACAAAGTGTTTGATTTATGAAGTTCCATGAAATGGTATCAAATGCTTTTTCAAAGTCGATAAACATTAAGAGACCAGGTATATTTCTTGACTCTGCTTGGTGCACAATATCATATATTAGTCTAATATTTTCGCCAACAAATCTACCTTTAATAAATCCTGTTTGGTCCCCATGTATTAGCTTATCTAGGAATTTTTTAATTCTTTCAGCAATGCACCCTGAATCTAATTTATATACAACATTTAAGAGGCTAATAGGCCGCCAATTTTTTTTTAAAATTGTTTTGGCTTACCAGTTTTTGGAATACATATTATTACCCCTAATTTGTTTGGTTCGGAGAAAGTTTGTTTTACGTATGAATCATTGATTGCTCTTGTAATAAATGTGCCAATATCCCTCCAAAAAAAATTTTAAAAATTCACAAGTGAATCCATCTAGACCTGGGCTTTTATCCTTTTTCATCTGTTTAAGAAAGTTTAGAACCTCTGATTTTGTTACAGTACCCTCTATACTTAGAGATTCTTCAAAAGACAGCTTTGGGATATCATTATATTCTGATAATTTTTTGCTGTAGTTTTCATTTTCAACAATTTCTCTTTTTTTTCTTTTTTTTTTTTATAGATTTTCATAAAAAAAGTTTTGTTTCATTTAAAATATCATATTGATCTGAAATAATAGATCCATTTTCTTTTTCTAATCTTGGTATCTGTTTACTTAAATAATTTCTAGATTCAAGTTGACTAAAATATTTTGACGGTTTTTCACCTTCATCGATCCATTTCATTCTGGAACGAATAACCTGTCCCTTTAACTTTGTCTTATGTATATCTTCAAGTTCTGTTTGTTTCATTTTAAGGGTATCTAATGTACTTTCTGTCAGATTTTGTTCTAAATGTAAAATCTCATTTTCTAAAATAATTCTCTTTCATGCATATTTTTTTTTCTTATAACTTGAGTAAGATATACAGTGCTGCTATCCTATAAGTTGACAATTCTATCCTATCCTATCGTGAATCCTGCATCCATAATCCTATCCTGTGATTTCAGTCTAATCCTATCCTATCCTATCCTGCAACTCTCAGTCTTTTTAATATTTAGGAATTAATTTGACAAAACGAAAAAAACGGAATGACCACCAAAAAAATCAGATATAGTTATGGTATTCATTTAAGTGTTATATATTTTAATGGATAAAAATAATCCAGATCGACATTCCATAATTCCTGACACACCGCACATTTTAAATTTAGGATTATCAATACCATGTTAAAAATAAATGTAAACAAACAGATTGTAATAAAACGTGGGCAAGTATTGATTTTGCGAACATCTGTAAAGAATGTGGGCATCCAGAAGAAAGAATTAACGAAAAAAATATACCTAGACTTTTAAAAAAATTTTTTTTAACTATAACAATGATCGGGAGACATGGCCACAGGATCGCGACTTGCTCCTAGCATCTTATAATTAATTATTTAAAAAAAAACCATAGGCCTATACGGTAATAATGTTTAAGTATATGTTTCATGTAAAATTTTATTTTTTTTCTAAACGGAGCAGCATAAAAATAACATGCATGTAAATGTGAAGTCTAACTGTGTCTGTATAACATGTTTTTCTGTACGCGGTTATAAAAAAGAAGATATGATTAGACCATAAACCAAACAGATAAGTCAAAATATAGATCTAGAATATCTTGACTTTTACATATTAAACATTTTAAATGTGAAATTGTCTTATGTAGCCAGGTGTTGGATGTTAGATCCACCTATTGGTATTTGTGGCTAGTTCATTGTTTGTCTGTCTTTATTGTCATTCGTTGTCAGTGTCACGTGATCTAGTAGGATAGAGAGAAAGGGGTGTATGAGAGAGAGAGTGAGTTGTATTCACTAACAAAAACTGTTTTTACTACCTGTCCGCCCATACCCATGCACACCGTCAAGGTAGCAGCACGCAAATTATGTATAGCATATAGGGTGATGTAGACTGGTAAGCTTTTATATATAATATTCATAATTTCCAGTTAAATATATATTTAAGTAATTTAAATGTAAAGTTCGTGTAAAGTACGGATATTTAAAGTTAGTGAATTGTGTGTAAAGTATGAATGTTTAGTATTTTGTATGAATGTTGTAGGTTTTATTATCCATATAAATATCAAAAACCCAAGACTACTGTTCTGATCTCTACCGACGGGTTACAATGGCGCCCACGTTGGGACGCCAAATGTCACAGGTGGTGAAAAGTCAAGTCTCAACCGGGACTCGAACCCAGGGCCTCTGGCGTACCGTGCCAGCGCTCTAACCAACTGAGCTATTGAGACCCGATATATTGACTGACTTTCACGCACCTGTGAACCCGGTGACATTATTATATCAAATATTAAATCTAAATGTATGATTTTTTTTTAATTTAAATTCATATTAATTTATTCTTATGTGAATATTTTACAAACATGCAAAATATATAGTTGCTGAATAAAATTCAAGATATTCAGAATGTCAAATTTCTTATTTAACTTCATTTTCTTCTCAGTTTATGGTCAGTTCAGTGCCGTACAAATGTATTTCAATTTCCAATTTTGTTTTATGTGTGAAAATTTAATAATTTATGTTTAATATAAAATATTTCCAAAATCTTCATTGTCAGACTCAGACAGATTGAAAGCAATAAATATTGTAGTGAGCTCACACATGTTCCTTATATCTTATAAAACATGCAAAGAAATTAAGAATTCACAGTATTTACAGTATTTATAACTCATTCTTGAGTAAGCCAAGTTTGTATTTGACCTTGGCATTTGATCTTTAATGTTCATTAATGTCTGATTGAGAGACATTAAAATGATCCACACATGTTCCTTAGATCTTATAAAACATGCAAAATAATTCACAGTATTTACATCAATTATCACACTTTCTTGAGTAAACTTTGTATTTGACCTTGACATTTGATCTTAAATTTGTCAGTGTTTAAATGAGGAAAAAATATTTGATCAAGTTCAAAATATTTTTATTCAGGGTGATTCCTCAACAATGTTTAACAATTTAATATTCCATTACCATGAGACAAATTCATTAAAAGTATCCATGTACAGGATGAATTTCAATGCCAAGATCACAGATACATGTACATGTACTTTGTTTAAATTTAAGTTTATCAATGTTTTTATAACAGTTGTATAATGTTTTACATGCATATGATTTGACTTCCTTATCTGTCGCTCAAACTGAATTTCAAGTGTCAGAGTTATTGTCAGAGAGATGGTCATAAACCGAACAGTATCACAAATGTCAACAATGCACAGAAAAAAGCACTGATCTCCTTAATAAAAGCACCATGATTTCAGACTTAGGACTCTTTAAAACTGGTTTGAACATCTTTCATTATTTAGTCTAACAGCATCTGAGATGAACTGCAATCTGTACAGCTGAAATAAGCAGGGTTGTCCTGAAAAAAAAAAAGATAAGCATTTATATTGTAAATTTTGTGTTATTACACATTTAAACTGTTTTTGATTGTGATTATCTTTCACTTTTCATGTAAAATTGGCTTTAATTTCACCTTTTTTCTCTCCCAAAAGTAGTGCATTAAGAAATCATGAAAAATAAAATCTTATACTGCAACTTCAGTCATATTAATTTTTTTTTAATCTTATTTAACATAATTTACTCAGAAGTACATTATAATTCATTTTATCTTGTTGACTTGCTAACAAATACATGTATATGAATACATTAGTTTGGGAGTTTTTCTCTATTTTTCTGCTTGTATTTATCTTTTAATTAATGTTTTTTCTTTGTTTTCTTTTTTTTTGTCTTGAAATTTGAATATGAAAAAGAAAAGACATATTAATTTATATAACAACAAAATGACTAGAATATTTCAACAGTTTAATTTCCTTTTAAGATTTTTAAAAGAAGAAAATCACTTGTTCTGAGAATCTGCTGACACGTCATCTAAACTCAGATAATGATGTATATGCATTTTAATGATCATGCATAAATACATGATAAAAAGCAATTCATACATACTTTTTAGATTAAAATCCTTTACACTGTGATGACGCATGAGTGCAGGCAAATCCATTCTCTGTAATAATGAATATTAAAAGATTAACTTGTGTTTCATAACTCACAATACATCATTACAAATGGACATACAATGTAAGTGCAGTGCTGACTGCTGAATGAGCTTATTAAACATTTAAACAGTAGCATTAGAAATGGTCATAATGATTGTACATTCACTTATCATAAATTGCACTGAAATGAAAACTATTTTCTAACCTTACTAGGGAAATGATAATAGTAACAAACTGATTAAGGCATAATACATATGATTGTTTTAGTCTAAGAGCTCATTGATGGCTGATTGAATCATGTGACAGAGTATTTGTAAATATTAATCCCCCTTTCTATCTAGCTACTTCTATCTACACTACCTGACTACTTCTCTCTATTTTTCCGCACCCTATTTTTGTTTACATAAAATAGAATAAAATGTTTATAATTTAAGTCATTAGAATATTGTCTAAAGGGCGAAATAAGTGTAAAAATGCACACATGTACAGTGTACAGTTTGTAGTATACTTACATGTTCTCGCACATCATCTATTCAAGTCCGCGGTCGACGGTTCCTGTGGAATTATCCAATCAAACAGAGCAAATTTAACAGGAAAACATGTTATTACACTTTTACACAAGTAAGAATCGGTTAAATCATCCTAACAAGCTGAAGAATTACGGTCTTTCGATGCCTGGACTCTTCGTTGTTTACATTCTCAAATTCTTCCGGTTCTCGTTCACGGTTAGATCGTACGCCTTATTATTCGAAGTTTATATTGTAAATCTGTTTTTGGTAAAGAGAATGTTTTATTTTCTATTTAAACTTTATAAATATTTCTTTTGTAAACATTTTATACTGTATTTCGTTTTTGTAAATTATTCTGAATTATGAATGAACCTTTGCTCGAATCTGATTGGCTGTAGGATAGAGGATAGGATAGGATAGGAGTGGATTAATTTCTATATGTTCCTAACGTGAATCCTCAATCCTGAATCCTATCCGATCCCATCCCATGTCAACTTGTGGGATAGCAGCACTGTAGTCTTTCCTCTAATTTCCTTGAGTAAAATATCTAGGAAACATTGGTCACTAACAGTGAACAACAATAATTCATTATCGACAGAACAACGATTATCTATGTCATACACTGGGCATGCATACTGTACTTTTACGTCATTTATTTTTTGTTTAATTGAATCAATATAAGCCTTATCTGTTAAAAGAGAATTGTAAAATTTCCAAAATCCTTTACCTTTAATAAAGTCATTAATTTTCAAAGACATCACAACTGGAGAATGGTCGGATCTGTAAAGGCCGGTATACACGGTAAGATTTGTATTATAAGATTTGTATTATAATACAAAATCTTACTGTGTATACACTCTTAATACAGTGTATCATAAGATTTTTCGAATCTTATAAAACTGTATTAAGAATAGAGCAATGCTCCATTTCCTAATACAAGTCTTAGCTTACCTATCACTTTCAACCAATGAAATGTAATGACACTTGGGGTCATCCTATTTTTATCATTACTAAAAAAAAGCACATGGTAAATAAAAATGATAGACTTTACAAGTAAAGACATCGAAAAACTCGTGGGTTTATGGGAAGGGGAAAAGGACTTGTGGAATATATAAAGCAGTAGCATAGTACGATGATAGACACCGCTATCAGAGCCTCATCCATCATTTTTATTACTTTGACAGAGAGAGAAATATGGCGGGGGGAAACACGTTGGAATAAGTAGTTTATTTACAATCTTATAAGATATGTATTAGCGTGAGTACAGGAAAGTATTATAATACAAAAGTATCATAATACTTGCATTATACTACAAATCTCATCGTGTATACCGGCCTTAACTGTCTTCATATTGAACACTACTAACGTAAGGGAGCAAAGATTCAGATATAAGAAAAAAGTCTAGTCTAGCCTGTTTTAAGGGGTTTTTTTTCTCCACGAATAGCGCCTAACTTGAGCGTAGTTTTCACGAAATACATCGTTTAGATTCAAATTTTCCATTAAATTTATAACTTCCAGTCTCGCTTTTGGATTGTTCAAATTTTTGTAGTTCATGGAATCCAATTCCTTATCTAAAACTAAGTTAAAATCGCCTGCTTTAATTATTTGTTGCAACATGTAGATTTTTTCAACCTCATTCATCAAATTAGAATAGAAAAGTGGTGTATCAGAATTTGGCCCATAAATATGTAAGAGTGATGATTTATTAATTAATTATTTCTAATTAATTAATAAAATATCAAATTATTTTTTATTCTGGTTGTATATATTTTTATTTCAGCTTATTAGATAAGGGTATGGCCATTCAGGTGTAACAGACAGTGCTACCCTGTTATTGCCTTAGGGTTATAATTAAGGTCCTGGCCATAAGTTCTATAAGTCATTTGTTTCTATATATTGGGTTTTAGTTTTGTGTTCTTGTGTTTTATTGGTTTGTCAAATTCCCTCCAAAGTGTTCTTGGTCTTTCTGGTCACTCTTTGTCCAGATTGTTTGTAGAGAGGTTCCATTGATTTTGTTTATGACAAATTTGACATTCTGACCGAGACTCTCTTCATCTTCTGGTAAGTTGATATTTATTTACTAACTTTAACATATCTTTAATAAATAGTTCATTAAATGTCAAATTCTTGCAATATTAATTTCCATAGCACTTTTGCACAGTAAGAGAGATTTTGGAAGTCAGTTTTTTTACTTAGTTATTAGCAGTAAAGTTGTGGTATTTTATGATCTAGATAATATGAACACATGTTTTATGATCAGAGAATTATATAAGGTTTATGATAATTTATAGCCTTGTACTACTTGTATGATATTTAACCATAGGAGCTTGCCTATTCCCTCAGAATGGTATGCTATTGTTTTTATGATCTATTGTTTTTATTAGTAAAAGGTACATAATGTCTATGAAGATATTATAGCTTAAATAGTAATATATATTTTGTTGTAAAGTATTTTAATTATATGCACAGAGTGTAGATTCTGAGGGAGTATTATATTACATGTCAAGATGTGTAATGAATGTAAGAGTTACCTCCCTTTATGCAGCATTGTGTATAATATTGAATTGTGCATTTATGATTTTATGATATTCTCAATATTGTTATTATTTATTTCAAGGCAATATTAGATGTAATTATTTCCACTACAATTAATAAACAGTACGAACCCTGACAGGCGTTTTCATTATTACCATCAACCCTGTTAAAAATTTGGCGCCCACGTTGGGACCTCTCTGCATCAACAACCAACAGCCTGTAGCCATTTCTGATATCCACTTTGAACAGTCTGCCTGACCAGTGCCCGTCTAATAGTGTATGTCTTATTCACGGATGAATGGATGGACTGTGATGTGATGTGTGACGTACGCGTACCAAATGTTACGATGATGTAGTGACATTGTCGTGAGTGACTGTAGACTAGTACCGGTACATATCCGTCGAGACCACCTCTGCAGGATACATATCCGTCAGGACCACCTTTGGACAATTTGGTGACTCATTATTCATTCTTTGTGTTATTTGTGCTTTGTGTTTTGTGTTTAGTGCCATATATGGTGTGTATTTTCAACACGTGATCTTATATCAGCTGATTGGTGAGTGTTACTGTTAGAATTGTTTACCTGTATACTAAGAGCTCTATAATTATTTTTTCTTTTCCTTGCTTGCAAGCCTATTGTGTTTTTGAAATTTACATATTTATTGGGTACCGTTGGTATTAAAATTTTTTGATTAATTTAGTTTTAAGTGTAAAGGTTAATTTTAAATGTTTGAAAGCTGAGTGCCAGATTGGTAAGTGAGGTATCACAAATTCACATATCCAGAGATCCAGGTACCCTTGAATTACTAATATGTAAGTAAATTAATTAATAATTCTATCTCTTTTGACAGTGCTTTTTTGACAAATATACATTACAGACATTTCAGTTGGATAAGTAGATACAGTTTTCTTGGTAAAGTGTTAGTATTTGTGTGCAGGTGAATTACATCCTAGGTTCTAAGTTGTGCAGTTTTCAGAGTTGTTGGAGGGTTGATTGAAACAAGCTTTATTATAACATTTGCTTGTTTTACTGATTAGTGTAGTGCCCACCTTATACTTTATTGATTTTCATTTATTTAATACTTATTTACATTGGGTTCGTTCCGCAATTTGATCGAGATCGGTTTCTTTTTCCGATTGCGCATTTCCGATCGAGCTCGAAATCCGCGTTATCTATTTTGACCGGAAGTAAGTTTAGACAACGTGATTTGGTAAACAAATATTGAAATTTGCCTTATTTTCCCAGTGTTTGTTGTTCATTATTCATTTCAAGTCATTTGAAGTACAGCAACAAAGGTTTTGAAAGTCATTATCTCTTTAAGGTAATTATTTTGCGTCAAATTTTCTTTATTTCAGTCTTTGAATTTCAGTCAGCTGATTTTTATACGCCCGTCTTAAGACGGGACGTATTATGTTATAGGCTTCATGTCCGTCCATCCGTCTGTCCATTCGTGTCCGGCTCATAACTTCAATACTATTAGGCCTAGGATTATCAAACTTTGTCGACTGATACTTCTTGGGTAGACGGTGTGTCGCGCACAAAAAGAAGGTCGCTCTGACTTTTAATAAAGATGCTATGGCCAAATATGGAAAAATCCTGTCCGGCTCATAACTAGAAAACTATTAAACCTAGAGCTATCAAACTTGGCAAAAGTATACATCTTAGGTAGAAGGTGTGTCGCGACCTATTTCAAGGTCACTGTGACCTTTAATTTTAGTGAAATTTTTAAAAAAATCTAAGTTTTTTAATTTTCAAATTTCATAACCCTAAAAATATAAAAAATAGAGTTGTATCCTCATTAAAAAGTATTAAATCAAGTAAAAACTTATTTTTTTTATCATATACTTTAGAGGAATCTTAAACAAATTTCAATGTTAATGAGAGGAATTCTGTTTGTCCCATGGGCATAATTATCAAGCACTGGTCGAGAAGAATTTTGATAGCAGAAAGTTGCATGTCAAATTAGAGAGAAATTAATGAGTTTAGTGTGAGGAGGTAACTAGTAGAGCATTGGTGTTATCAACATCCCTTGGGTATTGGGCAAATGGACAGCCAGCCTAGCTGTTAGATTAAAAAATAGCTCTTGTTGGCCAGCCTAAGTTTTAAGATGAATTTGATGAAAAGTAATTAAAACTTATTTGATAATGCATATTAAACTAATAATCTAATATTATATAATATTAATTAATTAAAAACTAATTTTATGGGATGGGGTTGAATCAACATGCCTACATGTCCATATGAATTAAATATAAAACCTGTCTGGCATTAAATCTAAAAAGAAATCATGGAGTATTTTATATGTTTTAAAAGTGTTTTAGGATAAAAAGTGCAGATCCTTTAATATTTAGGGAGTGATGAGTAGACAAGCATCATGTCAAAGATTAATTAATGAGTTCAATGTAGGAAGGCTATCTGATCAAGTGCTGCCTTATCTGTATCCTTTGGGGATTAGACAGAAGAACTGCTGGTCAGTTTATAGCATATGTCATTTGATGGCCAGCCTTTCTTTTCAAAATTAATTTGGCATAGATTAAGTTGTTAAGACTAATTTGATATTGTTTATTATGATGGCCGGCATTTGACAAAGTCTAACACAAACAGTATAGAAATCTATCAGTTATGTAATATTTGTTATAATTATGCCTACAGCACAGGGG